ATGTCCTGAGTCTTAATTGACCTTGGAAGGCTAGGGCCAAAATGTTGGCTTTCCTTGTAGCCCTCCTTTTTCTCTAATTTTGGTCTGCAAACTTAGGATGTTAACCATCCAGAAGACAAGCTTATTGTTATTATCAAACGATTTTGGCTATCAAGCTTAACCTTGCTATCTCACTGCATGAAATTTTATATTTTTAATTAGATTTTATTGGTGCATTTTTAGATATGCATAACAATCACATTCATCATGGAGAATTTGTCCTGTACATGATATAACTTTTTTTTTTTTCCCATTTCCCTATTCTCTTTCAACCTTGTTTGTCTCTCTTGGATTGAATCTCAACTGTGTTCCTAATTGTGTTACTTAGAAATCGCCAAAAAAATGTATACACACCTGAGGAAAAGAAAAACTTGTATAACTATTTTACTACTAAACCAGGCATAGTGGTGCATGCCTGTAATCCCACCAGAGGCTGAGACAGGAGCATTGCTGAGTTTCAGGCCAGCCTGTGCTACAAAATGAGTTCAAGGTCATCCTAAACTGCATAGTGAGACCTTTTCGCATGAAAGCAAAAGGCAAAAAGCAAAAAACAAAACAAAAAAATCCCCCACTAAATTTGTTGAGTCATCCTGAAATTAATACAAGTTACTTTTGGCCTCTACAGTTACAAGAGGGACGCAAAGTGCTGACCATGAGCATCCTGACATTTATTATCATGGGGAACAGCTGCGTGGGTAACCTTGGTCACTGATATTGCTGCACATGCATTTTCAGTTTCTTCTCTAAGGGCCAGCAGTGGAGTGGGTTTTCTGCAATATATGGCATCTTCTAGGGTTCCCCCATATGAGGGTAACATCATCTATTGACAAAACATCATACTATTTTTCTTTTTGTGAAGTATGCATGCATTTCTTGGCTGACTCTGTATATTATGCAGTTGTTACAAGAGAGATTATAGATGTTAACATGGTAAAAGTATCTAGAAAACTAAATGGTACATATTGCTCAATAAATGTTAACAATTGTGACTCACTGAGAAATTTGAGGATAGGATTTAGAGATGAAAATAAGATTTGAAGTAGTATAAATTATACTTAGCTTGTAATGTTCTATTCAATTTGAATACACACGGAGAAGCTTAGTGACGTAGGAAAGAGTCTGCCTGCTGGGACTTTTTATTTTTTATTTTTTATTTTTTTTTTAAAAATTTTTATTTATTTATTTTGTGTGTATGTGTCCAGCTCAGCCCACCAGGGGGCGGGGCTGGCTGGCATGTGGTGCTGGGGGATTGAACTGCGGTCCCTGTGCTTTGCTTAGCTTAGCTTGTTCTAAGTAGGTGCTTTAGACCACTGAGCCATTTCACCAGCCCAGCTGGGACTTTTTAAACTGTTGTGGAAAATATTTAACAATTTGAGAGCAAGGCCCATTTGGCAACATTACACATCAGAGAGACAAACACTAAGATTTCCAGAAAAGGTGTGAGAGCAGGAAAAGTCTCATAGGCAAACAGAACCTGACCGGGCGCTTGGGTAGGGCTTGTGTATGAGAGAAGCACCGAGGGAGACACACTGCTAAGGAGAATGAGGAGAAAGCAGGACCTTAGGAAGCTAGCGTTGCACGCTCCCAGTCGGCAAATAGAAGAGCAAAAATATAACGTTCTTACTGGCTTTATTGGGCTTTCAAAGTTAATGTGTTTCATAGTATTGCTTATTAAATTTGCATTAAGATATCCATGCGTTTTGCCTGCACCTGGTGATAATTCTTGACTTTGAGTGAGATGGGCCAGGTGAGACCCAACCAGGAGTGACAATCTCGCTTCACTTTCTCCAAGTGACATTTGCATAACTCTTTTTTTGGGTAGGTGGGTGTGTGGGTGGAGAGTTTTAGAAAAATCTGATAGAACTGCTATTATTCAAATCAGAATGGCAGTGGTGAGGACTATTGTGATTTTCTTTTTTTTTTTTGGCAGAACCGGGGATTGAACTCAGATCCTTGCGTTTGCCAGTCAAACGCTTATCCTACTGAGCCATCTCCCTGGCCATGATTTTCTAAGAGTTCCTTCCATTCCTTTGGTGCTCAGGGAACTAGATTTGACATGTATAAATTGAGACTGACTTTCGTTCCCACCGGAACTCAAATTCAACTGATACATCTTTTTTAATTTTATGAAAGAGTAAAACAAACTTTCATAACCAAATAAGAATAGTAAGTTATTATACTGTGTACTGTTATCTTCAAAGTAGTTGCTCAGTACCCGACGAGGTGACAAACATAGTAACATAAGCTTCCTGATTTTGTTCGAATCGCATTTTTCTTTTAGGCTGGTGCACATATACTGCTTATAACTTAATTTTCCTGAAGGAAGAGAAAGAGTGTCTCCAGTTTCCTTCCTTCCTGCTCATTTCTCAATCCATTCCAATCTGGTTGCCATATTCCTCACTCCTCTCTATGAACCTTTTCTAAGCCTTACATCTCTGTCTTTGTCTGCTCATCTGCCTCGTGTCTGTCTTTTCTTGCAAGGTCTCACTAAGTTGCCCGGGCTGACTTCAAACTCATGATCCTCCTGCCTCAGCTTCCCCTCAGCCATCTCAGGGACTATAGCTGGGACAGTAGGCATGAACCACCATGCTCAGCTCTCCTTTGTTTGCTTGTTTTAAAGGCAGATCAATTTTCACGTCCAAAAGTAAACTTGTGATCTTTACCTTCCAAGCGGATCTTCTGGTGGCACCATTTATTCAGTTTAGCAAAGTTCAAAACTTAGTTCTACCCTATCACCTCCCCTTCTTATGATCTGTGTGGAATGGATCTATCACCAAGTTGTATTACTTTTATTTTTATTTTTTTAGG